TATTTTGCTGTCTTCTGCCGTCATGAACAGCTGCCCCTGCCAGTGCCATTATGCCCTTTGGACAGCTGATCATGGACTGAAACCTCCATAAACTGTGGGCTAAATAAACCTTTTCTTTCACAATTTTGGGAGTCAGGTATTTTGTCCCAGCAATAAGAGAAAAGTAACTGAGACAAGTGCGATGAAAAATTTGGAGGGTTTTACATTGTGGTGGTTGTTAAATAATTGCATATAATTATCCAACCTTAGAATACAGTACACCCAAAACTGGAATTCTACTGCTTATAAGTTGTATCTCAGTCACCCTAATTAAACAATTTCTACTGATCTCCAAATCCTATTCGGAGCAATGGCATAGTGACTATAAAGCATTATGAGAGGTCACAACAGAATTTCTTGTATAAGTTTGGTTGGGTTCTGGTATGCTCTAAAAGTAGAAGCCAAAGAACAATGACTAATAGGCCCACAGGGCCTACACAAAAGAGACAGTTTTATTGTGCCTGCCAGAATCACTTCTAAAATACTTTGTTTATAGATTACTCATTCTGATGAACAATTAAAAAGACTCAGGTAGATAAAATGAAAAAGGTTTACAAATTGATATAAAACTAGCCAATGTACTTAATGCCACAGAACTGTACACTCAAAAGTTTATAATGGTAAATTTTACATTACTTATACTGTCAAATTAAAAAATTTAAAGAAAAAGAATTAAGAGAATGTTTGTAAATCTAGAAATCCACAGGAGGTTACAATTTAAAATAGTTCCTTTGATTTAATTACAAAGACTAAGCACCTGCTTAGGCAGACAATGCTGCCGGGGGTGGATCCCCAGCGTGTGGTGCCAGCCCTGCCCCCAAGGAGCGATTGAGATGGGGCACGGTGGCACACGTCTGTAATCCCAGCTTGGGGAGGCTGAACACAGGCAGAGCACTACGAGTTGATCTAAGTAGTGAGACCCTATAGACCCTGTCCTAAAATACAAAAAAAAAAGACTAACCTATTTTATGAAATCAAAGTTAAAAGTGGTTATAGTATTAGGTATGATTTTACTAAAGAAAATCGTGCTTACCAACTCTGCATTTATGTGTAATGTTTAAGACTCCACCAAACTACAGTTTTGCTTAAAGTAGTTTCAGTAGTCAGGAAAAACAATGAGACAAAGATCACACGAGCAAGCTCAAGTACAAGAAGCAAGCTCAACTACATTTAGCCCAAACATAATTCATTTTGTCATCTAAATGAATCTACAAACTGAATACTGCATAAATATTCAAAACAAATTACTAGAAGGCCCTGAGTAATAGTAGTCCAGTGTTAAAATTATAAGAACTGCCAAAATAAACATCAAATTTCACGTTATTTGGACAATTAATTACAGATAAGTACAATGTGATCAGTCCAAGGGATGTTTCAGACAATCATTATAATATATTAATAGTTAAGTCAATAATTGATACCATCAGAAAACCTCTGAATATAATTCCAGGGATGATAAAGATATCTACCTAGCCCTGGAAAGACAATTTTATTAAGAAATAGCATGATGAGACTTTTCTTTCATTAGGAGCTAGAAAAAACAAGCTCAAAAAATCACATGCCCAAACAGGAAAGAACATGTCTACTTAAGAAACTTGATTTCTGTAAAATCTGGGGAGTAAGTTTTAAGTTAAAGCCTAAAAGAACTGTAGTAAAAGAATTTCAATCTTGGGCAGAGAATGCATAGTAGTGCCAGCAGTAGTTAGCAGCGGTAGTAGTGAAGTAGTAAACTTTTTTTTTTTTTTTGGTGGAACCAGAGATTGAACTCAGACCCTTGCGCTTGCCAGGGAAGCGTTTATTCTACTGAGCCATCTCCCCAGCCAAGAAGTAGTAAACTCTTACACAGTGCTTCCTAATTGTCAGGCACTAACTCTAAACACAACACTGAGACAGGCAAACCACTGTCTCCATTTTACAGAAACGTGAAAACAGATTCAGGAAGATGAGGTAAGTGTCCCATTGTACTCCAGCTAGTAGATGGCAGAAACACCTCAGCCTATCCTACTCCAAGCCCACACTTCCTGCTCTTAATTATGTTATACTACCTGTCTCTGGAAAATGCCACTGTTATGCTTGGAACCAAGAAGTTTAAAGGAATTACCTAGTTGTTGACTAAACTACAGAATAATGTTAGAAAGAGCCAGTGAGAAACAAAGAAAAACTTTCAACATTCACTGATTACAACAAACTAAGGTGATTTACAGATCCTAAAATTCATTATAATTGTGTTTTTATCTGTTAATTTATTTGAGCTTTAAAAAAATGTGTTTATGCATCACAGTCACATGCAAAAAATAAACATCTGATTATAGCATCAAGAGTCCAATTTAGTTGCTTCAATAATTTAATAAGTATTTATGTTCCTGGTACAGTGCTAAGCATAGAACATACAAAAGATGAATTAAACATCAAAAATATTAAAAATCATTGTCCTCAAAAAAATCGTATAATCTATAATAACCCTTTTATCAATGCTCCCATTTAATCTTCCTAAGACACTGTTCAAAGGGTTTAAGTGATCTGCACATGATCCATGCTAATAAATGCAAGATTTGACCTCAAAGCCACCTATCTATAAAACCCATACACTTGACTCTATAGTAAAGCAATAAATAGTGTTCTTTTTTCAAATAACTTCAAATAAAAAGCTCCTGGATTCTCTTTAATATTTTAGAACTGTGTGTTCACTGAGAACTTTAAAAGGAGAAGTTTACATTCTAAACTAAATCTTGGGTTGCAGATTATATATAGTGTATAGCACAAGTGTCACACATGTTGTAAAATAGCTGAACATTTGAAAACATGAGCCAGGTATGGTGGTGGATGTCTGTAATCCCCGCACTCAGGAGGCTGAGGCAGGAGGATCCTTTCAAGTATGAGACCAGCCTGGGCTACAAAGTGAGCTCCAGGCCAGCCTGAACTGCATAGCAAGACCCTATCTCAGAAAGTCAAAAACAAAACATGCACTCAGGTGGCCTGCAGATGGGTGTGACCCCACTGGAAACAGAGAAGAGGGTGTTCCTTGCAACAGAAGTTTCTAGTCTCTGGAGTTGAAATCCCTCTTGTGTGTGCCACCTTGCCCAGCCTCTCACTTAGATTTTAGAAGTAGACAGGTACAGCAAAAAAAAGTTACCCAGTAGATCACAATAGGAACTACGCAAGAAAGTCATCTGGGGCTATTGTTAGTACCTGACCTGCCAGAAAACCCGTTAGCCAAATATATTCTATAGTATGAAAAAAACTGATAAAACATTCTACTGCTTACCTAAAAGAGACAAGATATTAAAGATAAAATACTCTTTTTAAAGAGCAGCTCCTATTCATAGCAAGATGTGAATTTATCCATCTGCATGTTATTTTAACATTGCAACAAAAAGTATGCATTTATCATGAATCCACTTGCCATCTTAAAACCATTACCCTAGATTTGTTAAGCTCTGTTTTGCCTAAACTGAATTAGTTAGGGATAAATTATTTTGAAATGCAATGGCTGAGGTCTTGAAAAATCAATTTGGAACTGCATTTTCAATACATTTGCACTCAAACTTTCATCAATATCATAGTCTAAAAACATTAGGAAGTTAAAATGTGCTCGGACCAAATGCAGAATATAAAATAGAACAAGTATTATTGCATATAAACTGCTTAAAAAACACAAAATTGCACAAAGTATACTTAGATGTTTATAGATAATGATGGTAACATGAAAATATTTGATCAGTATATAATGAAAATAGATTCAAAGAACTAGTTAAAAATATTTAAAGCAGAATTAAAGTTAGTTTTCTGCCAAACTTTTACCAATTACATTTTATAAGCTGTAATCAGAAGAAAATCTGTTGACGTATTTTAAAATGTAAAAACATTACAGCTGGTCTTAGTAGTGCACACCTGTATTCCCAACACTCTGGGAGGCTTAATGAGACTCAAAGCCTACCTCAAATTTTAAAATAAGGGTAGGGGGCTGAGGACATAGCTTAGTATGAAGACCCTGGGTTCAGTCCCCAGTACTGGAAAAAAAGAACAAAATAAAACAAAACAAAAAGTCAGAAGATGGGGGCCTGGCCCTAGCTCAGTCCTTTAAGTGGCTGCTTCCACAAAAAGTCAGAAGACTATAAGTAATTCTTGGTAAAATCTGATTGAACTATTCTCAAAATTATATAAATTTATATGCAAAACTTTAGACTAAAACATGTTTGCTATTTCATCTACATACACTGCTGTATGCCAGCTTTCCCAAACATCTTATCTCACAAAACTGAAACCTCTGTTTCATCATGCAGGAGCTCTAAAACAAGTAAAAACAGAGGATAAGTGACAGTTTATCTTTTTTAAGCACAGATTTCCTTTATAGCATGCACAAAATAACATTACAATTTCTTTTAAATCAAGGGAATTTTCCGTAACACCAAAAATAACATCTTTTTCTTTTTTACACTCACAATATCTAGCTATATAAAGCACTCACTGAATGTTGTTAACAGTGCCCAACGAGGCTTTAAATGTAGTATTCTATCATCTAATTTTAATTTATTCCTATCTATTCCATAGTTCCTATTTATTTCCCCCTAAAAACTACTATCATGAATATTCTGTTAATTCTGTTACTTTATCATGAATACTCTGTTATTTTTGCCCTGATATTCTTTATAAGACATTTGGTTTTCTTAATTTTATTAATACATTTTACATACACATATATATCACATTCATCATAGGGAATTTAAACCCATACATAATATATCTTGATTCTTCTTTTCTTCCCCCGTCTCGTTCCCTCCCTTCAGCTTCTCTTCCCTTCCTTATTTACAAAGGCTTTGTTTACATTTGCCCTGCTTTTAAACACGTTCTTTAAAAAAATAAAATCTGCTAGCAATTCAAGTTTTAAATTTTCCAGTTGATCCTGCTAACACAATAATCAATTCATATAAATGTTATATAAAAATAAGCTTTCTACTTACCATGTAGTTACCATAAGCATGATCAAACATTTCCAGAACTTGATTCCTAATTTGGAAAAAATAGAAATGGAGAAAATTATATCTTATTGTTTCAAAAAGCTAATTCTTCCTCAAAACACACCCATAAAATAAAGGAAATACTTAGTTAAAAAGGGAAATACACGTTAATGGACAAGTTCGTGAACTCACACAGAGCTAGGCCAAACTTTTACAATTCACAGAAAATTATATAAAATTCACTTTACATTTTTCCTAAAAAATCTGTTAAATCATACCTGCCACAATCAAAGGAAAGGAAAACCGATGCTGAAAGACAATCACCATCCCTCTCAGCATAATTATTTAACATGTCTTGAAGGAGACCCCTCAAAGGAAATAATTATTAGCAGCATTTATTGATTATTCCGTCTGTTCTACTAAAAGAGAGGGATGGGATGACTGAAACAGAATTTTATCAAGCCTCTGAATTTCCTATTAAACTGAATGAAACCACTAATGCCTAGGTAAGTATATATTTATCAGTGTTTGTCATATTTTTAAGAGATACACTTTGAGACAGTCTACTCGCTCAAAAAAAGTGTCAAAAGTAGTATATAACACTATAACAAGAAATCAAAAGGAAATTTGTGTGACGTGGCTTATCTATTTCTTCAACTCTACAAGATGGCTGTTTAAAATGGGTATTTCATATCCCCATACCTGACTAAAAATCCTGTAAATTTGGAACTAGGAATCAATCTGTTGGTGAAACATTCTGATATTCAGGAGCTTAAGTGCCACAAGATAATTTAAGAAGTATGTCTGTCTTGTTTTTAATAATTTCTGTAAGTTGCCTTTATCTAAGGTTATGTTGTCTGCCAACTCTACGAGAATTGGATTGTTTTATACTCATTTTTAAATAAAAGCATATAAAAACCCATTTTTCCGAGAAGGATAAGACTAATTGTGATTAGGTAAATAGTTCACAGCTCACAAATGGCAAACAACTGAACAACTGCTTGTCTATTTTTTTTTTAAATCTGCTTGGTTTAGGGGTACAGAGAAAGGGGTGTGACATTTTATGTGTTTTATTATGCATCATTATTTGAAGTTTCTTAAAAATCACACAGATAAGCCTAGTGAATCAGAATTTAGTTTTTTGAAAATCTTTAAAGGAGAAAACAGTCATATAATTGTGTATATGTGCTGAACTCTGCCCTTACTTTACAACAGGGCAATCTAAATTAACAAGCCTAAACAATTCTAATTTCTCTTTCGCAAACTGATCTCAAAATGTAAGCTGAAATCTCCGATCAATTTGGTTAGGTTTTCCAAGTTAATATCTAATTCTATGGTGGGCATGGTGGTTATGCCTGTAATCCCAGGCCTCTGGAAAGCTGATATTTCTCTTCCACTTTTTAAGAAATGCAGCACAGTGGAGAAGCATGGGCTCTGGAGATATTCCTAAATTTGAAAAAGGGCTCCATCAATTGCTAGCTTTGCAATTACCAACAAATCAATCTTAAATCTCACATTTTGTCAAAATGGATATGCCACCCAACATATGAATAGGGAGGAGGATCACAGAGATGATGACATACAACTCAACATGTTTGTAAAGTGCCCAAAAAGGGTGTATCTGGTTTTAAAAAATGATACACTGAATTCATGAGAGAGCATTTAGGATAGTTATTAGAACTTACCGGTAATTGTTTTGACAATTAATACTTCACCTTCTATTAAGAACCCTTTTTGCAGGGCCAAGGAGATAGCTCAGTAGAATAAGCGCTTGTCTGACAAGCGCAAGGGCCTGAGTTCAATCCCTGGTTCCGCAAAAAAAAAAAATCCTTTTTGAAATTTTGAGAACAGCTTGCAAAAGAGAAATTGCAATTACTTAGGCTTGTTAATTTAGATTGCCCTACTGTAGGGGGGAAAAGGGATTTAAAGAAACCTAAGTTAAAATCTGATAGTCCCACCTTCCCTTCATCCTAACACTATGACACACGTTATCTTGCTACTTTTTTCCAGGCTTAGACAGTATTTTTTTCTTAAAAAACAAAAACATATTATGATACTTGCTTATTCTACAGCTTGTTATTCTACAACTTGGTGGGGGGGGGTTGTCTGGGATTTTTTGGTATTGGAAATACATCCCGGGTAGCCTTCTAATGACATACCTCCATCTTAATCATGAACATTAGTCTACAAGGTGGGTGCAACATATTCAACCATTTCTCTTCTGGGGTTCCTTCAAAATGTGCACCTTTCTACATCTAGCTCTACATTAACAGTGCTTACATTTCTGTCTGGTGGATTCCCAGAGATGAGAATGATGAATCAAGAAGTATGTGTGATTTAAATTTTAGGAAGCACTGTCAAAAGCGATTTACATTCAGTAATTTACATTCCCATTTTTTAATGCCTTCAGTAGCCAAGACTGAATCCCTAAGTTTTGCGTTCACTAATCTAATGGGCAAAAGCAACTATCTCGTTTTAAAATTGCATTTCTCACATTGACGGGATTGAGTAACTTTTCATAGTTATCTCATTTCCTCTTCTCTTACTTAAGTGTTCATGCTGTTGCCCACTTGCTATTTGATTCAGCTTTTATTCCTTTCTGGGGCCTCGCGTATGTTAAGTATTACTGACTGCGAATTAAATGCTGTAAATGTAAGTTTTATGACACTCTCAAGACTTAAAACTACTGTGAGTAAAGTAAGTAAGCACACTTAATTATGGCTTTTGAATAATACCACCAAATAACCTCTCCTACGATGAAAAGGCAGTGCAGGAAAACACTTTAAGGATAAGATAAAATTTGTAAAGTTCAAGTTCCAATGAAGGGCCCTCTTACCTAACAAGTGTCAACACCATTTCCTTAATTACGTGAGACCAGCAACATTTCTCCATCTGGCAACTCCCTCGTGCGCGAAACCTAACCAAGCCTCGGTCGGAAAGACAGCCGCTGGACTTTGGCGCGTGGCTGCCCTGGCTGCAGTCCCCTTCATGGGCCACTGACATGACAGCAGCACTGACACACCGGGCTGGCCTCAAGGAACTCGCACCTGTCACCGACCTCCAGAGCGACATAGTGACAAACCCCCTCCTTCGCGGACCCTGCCTACCCAAGATCCTCGCTCAGTAGCAGCTGTTGCAATCGCGAGCGGAGACGCCACTGTGCTCCGGGGTTGCAATGACAGCCACCTCGCCCGCGGTCGCTTTTACCTGGAAACCCACCCAGACAGCCAAGCAACCTTACCCAAGCTTCTGTTTCTCCTCCCTACTCATGGGCGCGGCCCCCGCCGTCCACAAAGACGTGGCTGACACCAGGCAGAGCGCGGCTGTCGCGGCCACCAGGCTCCATGGCCCTCGCTGGGGAACCGGGGACCCACAGCCCAGGCCACCGCCGGCTTCGCTCATGGCCCCGCGGTTCCACGCACGCGCAGCTGCTACGCCCGGTCGGCGGGACACATTGCCGGACGCCGGTGGCGAGGGGGCTGCAAGCCGTGACGAAGGCTGGGTGTGGAGTGAGGCGGGCAGCCGCCAGCGTCAAACTGTTTGCCGAAGCCACCGAGTCGGTCCCCAGCGCCAGCGCTGCCACCGCCCTCCGCCCTCGGCCAGCCGGAGCGCCTCCCCCAGCTTTCCGGTGTCGTAGTCTAGGAAACCGCCTCCCCAACGCTACTTCCGGGCGGAGCGGAGTCGTGGAGCCTCAGGACCAATGGAGGCCGCGTCGGAGAGGGGCCGGCCCAGGCCGCGGGCGACCGTACTGGCCGGGAGGAGAGCGACGCGATGGGCAGGCGGAACAGGGCGGGCCTGCCGTCTCCCCCTCGCCTCGGTCCGCGGATTGGTCACCGGGGACTACAATTCCCGGCGTGCTCTGCTGCTCCCGGCGGCCCCCTGGCGCTCGCAGCTCGGCGCGGGGTTTCCGTCCTGGGCGGCGCGCGGTTGCTTGGCGCAGTCTGAGTACCGCGGGCTCTTACGTGCGCTGCCCTTTCCCCGGCGCCCTGCGGCTCCCAGCCGTCCCGAGCTGCCTCATCAACTGCTCATCTCCGTGCGGACGGTGTTTCCTGCGGGGATGAGAGCGCTGCCTCGGTCGGTGCGGACTGCCTGTGGAGACGGCGACGGCGTGGAGCCGTCCGTGCCCTCGGGGGAAGTTAGGAAACGCGAAAACCTTTGATGTTACCGCGCTGGGAGCTTCATTTGCAAGTTGTTAGTCTCTAACAGGCAAGTACCACCTTCACGCAGCTTGGAGAAGATGATTAACAAACCCGCGTGCACACTGCTGGGTTGCGGTCCTCCCAGCCCCTTATTCGGCAGCCCTTGAACGTAATCCCTGAGCGGCAGAGACAGGGGCAGGCGCGTACGGTGTAGGACACGATCGGTAGCAGTTACCCTTTCGAAAAGCTGGGGTACGAACTATAAAAAAAAAAAAAAAAAAAAAAAAAGTCGGATATGATGAGAACTTGAAGTTTGTGATGACCGATTACCAGGTTATAGCCATTGCTAGTGGCTTCCCTTTGGAAAAGCACTTTGTTCTTCTGTTTTAATTCATTAGGTAGGCGAGGAATCAAAGAGAGTGGATGTGATCGCAGCGAGTACAGTATAAGCTGTACTCGTTTCTTTACGCGACATCCAGCTCTGGAAATTTTCTTTCTTGAGTTGTCATCTCGTTTCTGACCTCTCTGACTGACCTCTCTGCTTCTGCTGTCTTTCAGATCACTAACTTTCTACTCGCACAACTACCTCTGTTGTGAACGACTGCAGTATCTTCTGTGGTTCCCAGGCCGCCTTACCCTCTTATGCATTAGTACTAGAGTGGCATGCAAGGACGTCCGCAAAGTCTCTGAAACGCCTTGTCTCTCCCTCTGTACTTCCCTGCCTCAAATTCTGTGCAATAACTTCTTTGTGAGATATCAAAAGAGGGCCAGAGACTATTGCCAGTAGTCAAGGAATGTAGAAAAGGCAAGAGTTTATATAGGTCTGAGTAAACTGCACGGGGGCAGACAGCAGGTGAGCTCTCAGAAGAGGAACTCTCACACCAACTGAGAGATTGGAATTCTTTTAATAAGGGCTTAGACAACAAATTACCCAAAGAATGTCTTTTCTGGATCGTCCAGCACCCAGCATATCTTTAGGAGCACTGGCATTATGTTCAAAATTACATGCTTACCATTGCAATTTTGACAAGATCATTTCTTCTGGCTTATGGGGGTTATTCAGCTTTAGATAAGGAGGTGATGAGGTTTATACACATCTTCTAGCAAGATGAGTCAGGACTCACTTGGAGAGTGGATGGCACTTGGCATCAAAAGGTTTAATGCTAATCCCCCCCACACACACACACTTTTTAACCAGAGTTCCCTTGTTAGGGGTTTTAACCTTTTTATTCCAATGGGCAGCCATTACAATAACTGAATAATCATCCTATATGCTTTCTGTTCCTTTGTTCATACTGTCCCATTTGCCACCCTGCTCTTAGTAAACAGCCACACAACCCATGAAGGCTTAAGTCAGATTCTATCTCCATAAATCCATCTCTTCAAGAGAGGCATTGTGTATTTTCTGTTACAGATTTTTAGTAAATGTTGAATGTGTGTAGTTTTTTTGTCTATAAAATGTAAAGGTAATCATTTTATGTAGGCTATAAAAATATATGAGTTAATTTCTAAACATTTAACATGTAGGCTATAAAAATATATGAGTTAATTTCTAAACAGTGTTTAATGTTACCCTTTTTTCAACCCCGCAATTCTGCATTATTTCAATCTGCTGACAGCCTTAATAATGAAGTTAGCCATATAAAGACCTGTGAGTTTGGTGTTTGCTCTGGCATAGAGAATGTAAGGTAAAGGTCAACACCAATTATCCAATATTTAAAAGCTAAAAACAGAAAAATAGTAACTTTCAGTTATATTAAAATGTAGTCAACTTATTTGGAGTTGATTGTTGGCAGTGGCTCAGTTTTCTGTACCTTTCTGAATTCCAAAGCATTTATAATTCAAATTCACTACCATTAAGATGAAG